CCTCGTGGCTCCGAACTGACGCTGACCCTCATCGATAATTCGTCAAAAGTCCGAACAACAATGTTACGAGACACTTCAAATCTGTGGAAATTTGAAGAAGTGGCGGCAATTGTGATAGGTGTGACGGTCATTCATTGGTCATTCATTGGTTCCAGGATTTAAGGGCGTGGCCCGGTGTTGCGACTAACAGTCGTCAGAAACCAAAACAGTATCGTAGACAGTGTTCTAAATTTTAGGATTTCGAAAAACTGTTCGAGACTGGTGGGCGTGTCCTTATACGGTCTCTTATTGGTCTCAGAATTAAAGGGCGTGGTCCGACGTCGTGACTCAGTTCGTCAGAAGCCAAAACAATATTGTAAATTGTATTCAAAATTTTTGAAATTCGAGGAACTGTTCGAGACTGGTAGGTGTGTCCTTAGACCGTCTCCTATTGGTTGGAGGACTTAAGGGCGTGTTCTGATGTTGTTACTCACAGTTCATCAGAAGCCAAAACAGCAATGTAGATTGTGTTCAAAAATTTTAGGATTTCGGAAAACTGTTCAAGTCTGGTGGGCGTGTCCTTATACGGTCTCTTATTGGTCCGAGGACTTAGGGGCGTGTCCCAAGATTGTCTCTAACGGTTTTTTCAGATGCTGAAACAACAATTTAAACCATATTCAAACCTCTAGAAATTTGTAAACATAATTGAAGACTGCTGACCGTGACCTAGACTCCATATATGATTTATAAGTTTAATTTAGGGGCGTGGCCTGTTACTTGTAACTAACAATTCATAAAAAGTCGAAACAACAATGTGTATCAAGTTGATCGTAGAAATTTGTAAAACATCTAGAGACTGGTGGACTTGACTTGGTCACCTCCTAGAGGCTCTCATTGGTCCATAAGTTGGAGGTGTGGCCTGAAACTGTAAACATTTAATCGGACAGTCCATTGAAAAAATCATGAAAGGACAAATGACAGTGATGCACGATGTTCACGTCTGTAGAAATTCCTAAAATGGGAGGAGACCGATGATCTAAACTCTTTATGCAGCTCTTATTGGTTCGAGAATTTGTGGGTGGAGCCTGTAATTACGACTAATAGTTTATAAGAAAATGACAAACGAGGTTAAACAATATTGAAAAATTTAGGAATATCGAAACAAATGATATTTAGTGCTTATGGTACCTTATGATTTGACGCGTCGGGGCGCGACTTATGCTGGGCGTGGCTTATACTGGGCGTGGCTTGTACTGGGCGTGTCACTGATCTCGTTAAGATTCAACATAACAGTTCAGGAACTTCCAAATAATTATAGCAAACCGAGTGGGTTTAAAAACAATTTCAAGTAAATAAACTGTGATAAGCCTCCTTGGGCGGAACTTACGAAAAGGGGCGTGGACTAACGAATTCCAGATAATTATTACCAGAACCGAAACCTCATTGTAGACTCGAAGAAACCGTGTTTACCGTGCCGTAAATTCCTAGATATTCGAGACTCGTTAGTCGGCGAATTAGAAGGCGTTCGTGCCGGAATCTCGGCGCGGTTAATTGCCGATTGGAAATTGATATTTCGCCGTACCATAATCGGTGTCGCGAGCGATCGGCCGAGGGAGCTGGCTCGAAATCACGATCGCAGTTCCATGGGACTGGCACGAGGTAATCGAAGCACGTGTGAGCGACCAACGTCGGGAATCCCAACGAGCTTTCGCTAACTGTAAAATCGAACGCTCTTTTCCTTCGGTCGCGTTGTTTGCCCGGCCACGATCCTCGGTGTCGTATCTAACACGATCGGGTCTCCCTATCCGGAGCTGAAAACAATTTCAGTTTGCACAATATGCCGATGCGAAAAATCGCTATCGCCCGGAGCGCGTCGAGATTAGCGCGACCGGCGCACAAACACACAAAGGGAAACTCACTCGGCGTTTGCCTTGGCGAACGGTTAGAGAGATCTAGCAAGGACTTCGCGTTAAGTCGTAAAAGCGGATATAAAACTGACGGCGACAAACTAAAGAACGCTTATTTTCCAAGAAGCGACCTTGAAATCACAGAGGCGACGATTCTCGTGAAATTTTGTATGCAGAGAGATTTCTAGCAGCGTCTGTTGCATTATTCGAAGGTTTCGCCGAGGTTTTTGGATATTTCACGAGGTAAAAAGCTGCGCGGAAAATATGGAATACATTCTTCTCATGCTAATTCCAGTTTTATAGAAAATAGCAAATTTTTGACTCGGTCTTATCCGGAGCCTAGATTTTGGAAATAGGAAATGAACTATAAATATTCGTATTTTCTCGTGTAATATCAAATGGTAAATAAACTTGTTTCGAAATAGTAATTTGAAAGTGCTATTTTCATATTTATCTACTATTTCAATGAAAGTTTATTCGTCGAATTCTCTATTGCATGAGAAGATACTATTTAAAAAATCGATTTTTCCGAAAAAAATCGAGGGACCACTTCACTTGTCACCGAATAAAGAAACGAGGCTTAAAGTCGTCGCGTATAATTGCGAAGGCCGCTTGAAGATTCGTAGTTTTCGGAGGGAGGATAGATCGACCCCGAGTCGCTGGTACGACCAGCAAAATCGACAGACGAGTCGATGTCGTCAGCTAGTCGGGCCCGAGCTTCTTAGAAAGCTGTTTAAATGCGAATAGCGTAGCCGTGGACGACAGAACGACACCCGCGAAGACGACCAGCACGGGAAATTCGTCACGTAAATGCCGGACAATGACTCTATGCTGGCAACGATCGAAACGACTCGCCAAGGTATCCGTTAGCTCGCCACGATGATGAAAAAAACCGCGATCACCTACCGCAGCTCGAGCAACTTTGACGTAGCTCGACGCCTAATCGCGCTGCTGCAGGCCTGTCCGCCTTTTTACGAACGATCGATTCGCGAAAATCAATTCGCGGAAATAATAGAGTAGAAGCGCGGTAGAGCGGAAACGAAATACTTTGGAAGATAGGGTAGATGGCCCAATTACTGTCAGTGTCGCTGTCAATTTCATTATTTTATTTATCGGTGAAATAATGCGCGAAATAATTTTAACGGTAAACTTGAACTCAATTTTATATTCATAAATATTTATATTATATTTTATATTTATAATAAAATTGTATATTCATTATATATTATATTTATATTATATCTATTATATAATAGTAATAATATAAATATAATATAATAATATAATATAAATATATAATAAATATAAATATAATATATAATGAATATAAAATTTTATTATAAAACGCTAATGGCAAATTCGCTTCTTAATATAGATATTTATGTTATACTATTATATAATAGATTAACATAAATATTTATGTTATACTATTATATAATAGATTAACATAAATATTTATATT